TAGTGTTTTACGAAACGATCCTGCTCACCGATGGATGGTCCTCATCACGAAAAATCTTCTTATTGACTTCTTCATTCTTTTGCGTCCCGGGAATGGATGTCACTGTGTCTGTATGTGAAAAATATTTGGATAATGTAGATTGGATAAAGTGGATAGCTTGCAAACTGGGCACATCAATCTACGTTGGTTCATTCACACGTCGGTGCACCGCATCGCTTATCCTTGAAACAAGTGTACGTCGCCCGACTGTCTCTAATGCCGCAACTGTGGGAGCATTTATGGATTGTATAGAACATTACTAGTCCGGGGAGGAATACCGACGGAGTTGAAGCCAGCCGTGATTGACAAATTCATAGAAGTGCCGACTTACCCATGTAGAGGGCCTAAGCCCAAGCTAGTCTCGCCTATTGACTCTTCGGGGTCCCGGTATCATGGACTAGGCACAAGATGATTAGACTATAGTATTAGTAGGCTTCGATTGAGGGGTTTTAAGGAGCTCGCGGAAGCTAGCAGAGCTATGGAAATTTGTTGTTCTTCAAGCTGGCTGGAAACCCAGGTTTTGTGCACTTCGATACCGTACTTTTGGTCTGACAATGAAGTCTATTCGAGCATTTCGAATGCCGAGTACGAATATCATAGGTCACAAACACCTCTGAATCGATGAATTGGGTTACATCTTATGAATGGATGGATATGAAGGGTGGCCTAACAAACGCGGGCCAAGGAATGCATATCAGGCTGTCACGGCTGATCCACAGAACATGCTGCACACTACAAGAGGACTATTCACCGTCCCCGAGGAGAAATCGTCTATCCTCCAAGTCGGGACACAATCTGTCCGTCGAAGATAAAGGCTCCTCCGTCTCCTGCCCAAATGGATAGATTCTCTGCTGATCAACTGAGGAAACAGGTACCGGCAACAAACTGATCCGAAGGTCAGCTTTCCTACGATAGAAAATATGGAAACTCTGATGGGACGTGTTCATCAGATCATTGCCTTTGTTGACATGCCACGTAGGGATCCCAGTAACGTGGAACACTGGGTAAGACAACGGTCTGGCGGCTTCCTTGACGCTCCCGGCCCTCGGGATTCGGATCGTTGGCTTAGACTATCCGGACAGCTAGAATCCGGGGCTTTAACGGCTTCAGCCATCCAATAAGAAAAGACCTAATTCCGTAGATGTAAGCTGCTATCCCGACGTGGACATTGTTCTCCCCGGATCTGGGCTGGCCCGGCGCTAGTGCCTGGCTGTCTAGGTACTAGCTCTAAACTTTTGGGCACAGCTAGTGCCAAGGCTTGACGAGACCATCATTTCCCAACTGGTGTCATTTGACTGACATTCTTTGAGAGGCAACTGACAGAAACGGCAGCAATGCTACCGAAGGATGACGATGATGGAAATCCGCTGCCCTTTCAGCCTTGCCCATGTCGCACTTATAAGCTGGACACTGCTCTTCGTTGACAAGCGTTCGACATACTCGCCAAGTTGTTTCCGATACCTTGCATCACCAAGTCAACGACCAGGCTGTCTCAATTAGTCAACATGTATTGCAAAAACATCGCACTCGCTCTGGCTGTGGCTACAGGCGTCATTGCCCAGCGCCCCGCCGACACTCCCATTTGCGACTACTACACAACGGCGCTGTTGAAAAACAACACTGGTGCAAACCAATACACGCTTCTCACGCTCTTGGTAAACACTGTTGTTATTGGAAATTGTAAGTCACACTGCCTGTGCATTTGAAGGCCTCTGTCACTCACATGAGTTCAATCAGATACGATGCCGAACGTCGGAATCAAGGTCGATGGTATCCTGGCACCTGGCATGTACAATGGCGCTGAGGTCAACCTTCTTCCTTACTTCAACGGAGACTTAGCCTCATCGAACCGAGGCGGCAGCTCCGGTGTGTCAGTCAACTTTCTCGATGGAGGCGGTGCTGCCCCTTTGATGAAGAACATGCCTGCCAACGATGACACGTCCAAGCAATAGTGAGTTCAACCCACTCAGTTCTGCTAATCACCGGAGTAAAGCTAACGTGAGCTTTCACTCAGCTTCCTCCTGACTCACTTGTACCAATTCTTCGGTGCCCTTCTCGGCTGCTCTCAATACGGCATGACCGGCTTCCCCAAGTACAGCGGCTTTGCGTCCATGTACGAGGTGCATAAGTTCATGGACTTGGACCAGAATGAGCTTGGTTACTTCATTACTCAAGTTGCCATGGCTGCTGCCTCCTTTGGTGTCGCCCAGGACGACATCAAGGCAGTCGGTATGGCTTTGAACCAACTCTTTGGCATGCGCTGCAGCCCGCCTGCCACGGCCATCCCAGAGCAGGGTCCTCAACTGCAGGCTATCTGCATTCAGGACAGCTGCCCCATCTCCACCAACTCAACCTGCGCTAGCTACCAGCCCGCCATGGCCCCGAAGAATGCCACTGCGACGGGAGGTATGAACGCCACCATGACTGCGACGATGACGGGAGCTACCATGACCTCAACGATGACTCCAAGCACAGTTCCAACGGCAGGCGCTGCTGTTCAGGGCGTCAGCTTGGCTCTTATCGCCGGGCTAGTGGCTTGCCTCATTTGATAAAGCTGTCCCCGGTGATGGCCAAGATCTCAGGAAAGGAGGAATGTGATGCACATAGTCATGAGACTAGAAGATACCAAACAGAGGACCCGAATAACTTTCTCTTCGCTTATTTAATGTACCTAATTTCGAAACTTTGAAAACTCCAGGCCAATATCTGAGTTCCCTCGCTATGAAGTGTTTTGGAGACGTTGCGATGCGGTCATCATCAAGATTTGTAACGTTGACTGCCAGTGATTATGCTCACGTGCGTCTTCTTGAGGTAATATCACCTCCATTATTATATTCAAATCCGTGCTGTTTAATCTTAACGGCTTGCCTCACAGGTCTCCGAGTTCTGTCAACATCGGCAATGAGTGACTCTTCCTTACATGCGTCAGTAGCTATGAAGCACAAGGGCCATCTCGTCGAAGGGGGCATTACTAGTAGTACACCCCATACTCATCATAAGACGGCTGTGAAGACGGGTACGGAAGCTTCAAAGGGACTCATTATGGAAATTTTCTGATCACATTGTCAATAACAGACATTGATGTACGCATATGCCCTTGAAGCAGCTTTGCGATGCAAACTCTACTTATACTGCGTGAACTTTACTCGTCGTGTTGCAGCAATTGATCACAGTGACTTTGCAATCCTTGGGAAGATGGCCTATGACACAATACGTCAGCTAATCCTGGCCAGAGTGGAACGTTGAATAGAGTTCGAAAGGTTGATGATTTCAAGTGAAAGCATGGATTCAGAGTTGCCCAGCTCATTGGAACAGGTACATGTAACATAACACTGGAGGCATGCCAAGACACCCTAAATTGTCCGGATGGACATGAAGTCGTAATCAATGTCATCCGACAGAGGATGTGACTCCCTTGCCTACAATATAGCGGGCGAACATACCTGCCGATAAGGGCACTTTATAGGCGGAGCAAGTGGTCCTCTTTTCTATAGTTTTGAGTGGGTAGAGTTCACTTTTGCAGAGTACCCTGCAAAAGATTCCGCATCCAATAATCGAGAATTAGCCCTGGCTGAGGACAAAGATTGAAGTAGTACAATTCCGGTCACGTGAAGTGAAAGTCTCCAAGGTCAAATTCGTGTCTTTCGTATCACGCAAGAAATGGAACGTTCTAGTCGTATAAGATTTCTCTCAGAGTTGAAGACGTAGCTTTTGTGCCAGGAAGGTACTGACTGCCACATACTTTGAATTGAGTTTCAGTTTCTGACTTCAGTTACGAAGTCGGCTACTGGGACAACAAGTCATTTTTTGCAGTACTACATGAAACTTACGTAGTATTCCAGAGAAACCTAGTAGTCAAAGAGGGGTGTGTGCGCGAGAATGTGGTTAGCTAGCAGATTCTATCTTCGTGGGTTACTTTACTTCTCTTTGGTAGAGGATAGGGTGGTCTCACTGCTCGTTTGAGGCAACAATGTGGGAAGAGGGATGATAACTCCGCATTTGGTTGACTCACTTCCCTTTTGCCTAAGATATAAATGGCTACAAGTTGGTCAGTGTCCTAGTGCGTATTAGTTCCTTATAGAAAAAACACCGTTCATAGGCATCTGGGTGAAATAATTCCAAAAAAAAAAACCATGCAAGATTTTTCTGATCAAAACCACATGTTTGCGACCTGCATATATGTGTATGAGATCCATTGAAGTTGTGTTCCCCGCTCCCGTCTCCGCTTTGCCTGTCGAAGCCAGTCTAGTCGCTCAACTCGCCAGGTGTTGCAACAAGGCCCTCTGGCGCAACGGTAGCGCGTTCGACTCCAGATCGAGGTTTCTCGAGATGTCATCGAAAGGTTATCTGTTCAAATCAGGTGGGGGTCAGCATTTTTGCCCTGTACGCCCGGGAGGCGTGTCGGTTCGCTGCTCTGTTTTGAGGGGGTACGTGCGATTGCGTTCAAGGTTATCCGTTCAAATCGGGTGTGGTTCAATACCTCACAACGTCCCTAACTATTCGTGAAGCTTCACACAGCAACCGGGATGATATTTTTGTGATTTGGAGGAGTTGTGATGATTTTTGTCTGGGAACGGCGAAGGACAGCGCAAACGTGTGCGCTCTTAGTCTGGAGAACCACAAGTGGGCCCAGTCTAACTTCTTGTTACACCTGACAGCCGATAACCCCTTCGTTTTTTTCAAAATCGCAAAAAATCGACCTCAGAAGCCAGCATCTCCATAGAGTCATTTGGATTGCTAGGGCTTAATTAGCGAAACAATCTACTTGTTAAAACCGCATGGAGTACAGCTTAGCTGATTGGCCATGCGTCCTAAAGTTGTGTACGTTTCACCCGATAAAGAGTGGTGGCAATATTCATCGTGGAGCGGAGGCTACGGCTGTATCACGACATTGTCTCTGGTAAGTTAAGCCCCGAACCCTCTTGCTTCCCCATTCCAACGTTACACTTTTAATCAAGCATGAAGCATCAACATATATAGTGGCTAATATGATTGGAGTTAAGCTGTGATATTACAAACTTGATGGTACAAATTCTCCACCCGCTGAGTCCTGATAAACGCCAACCCAAGTCAGACCGCGACACAGCGCCATAACTCATCATCGCTTGGCCACAACTCCCTTCAATGAGCAAGCTTCTTGGCTTCCTTCTCGTCGTCATATGCAAGCCCGGAATAATCAGGAAGTTGCCAGCCCGGCACATCATCTGATTGAAGTCGCTGGAGAATCTTGTCGATCCTCAAAGCTGACACCAACCACAAGATTGTGTACAAAATTGAAATAACCCACGAGGAGTTAGGGTAGATCCAGGACGGCTTGAAACCAATGTCTTGAACTTCCTTCATAAGCTCCAAGATCTCATCATTGTACGACTCGAGGGCGGCAGGAATACCGTCGGTCGCCTTTCCTGACGACCCCGAGCAGTGTTTTGAAATCTCGCCAGCGAGCACGTAAGCACCGATGAACGCGCAGGTTGTGCCCCGGCCCGTCAAGACGCTGGGTGCATATCCCGCATCTCCCAGAAGGGCCACACGATTCTTGTAGCACTTGCCCATGCGTATCTGTCCAATCTCGACACAGTAAAAGTCGTTGGAAACACCGTCTTCGTTGAGCGCATCGCAAAAGCGGTCGGCTTGCCAGCCAGCATCCTTGAACAGCTCTGACCACACCTGCTTCTGCCGTCCAAGATCGCGGCTTCTTTCCGTTTCGATGAGAAGCTTCTCCGTCTCCTTGTCTGGTGGACACACGGCAAGGTATGCCTGAGTCGTTTCAGGATTGTCGTTTCTGGAAAAGAGCACACGCTTCTTGGGACACACGCACACCGTGGCGTAGTTGTCGTCCGTCTTCCATTTCGGGACGGTGTAAAAGGCCATATGCACGCCGAGAGGATGGAACGGGTCCTTCTCACCGGGGCTGAGCATGAGTCGTCTCGTCTTGGATCCCTGACCATCAGCTCCGACCAGCAGGTCAAAAGTGTCCGTGGTTCCATCTGACAGATGGACCGTCACTGAGCCTGCATCCTGTTCAAACGACTCGATCTTGACACCAAAAAAATACTTCACTCCCAGTGCAGTCGTCTTATCGAAAAGCAACCGAACCAGATCCCCGCGCATAATCTCGAATTCTGATGTAAAACCCTGCTTGCCAACACCAGACTTGTTTGCTTCAAAGGTAGCCTGTGTCTTCCCTTTGCCATTGACGAATCGGACGCCAGCTTCGTTGACCACCTTTTCGCGTATAAGACCTTCGAGTCCCATGCGGCGCACAACAGTCACTCCTTGGCCTCGGAGGTCGATTTGTTGGCCCTGAACGCGCAGGGAAGGGGATCGCTCGAGGATGGTTACGTCGTGGCCAAGCTTCGCCAACCAGAACGCAAGGGCCGGGCCGCCAATGCCTCCACCTGAAATGAGAACTCTGAGGGAAGACATGGGATTGGGAGTGGTGCAGTTGGATAGTGTATCGGCGTACTGATGAGAACGTTTGGAAATTGTGTTGCTTGAAGAAGTCACTCTACTAGCCAGACCTGCTGGGTGATGAAGGGTATCTATAGCATTAGTAGGATAGTATGAATTAAAACGTTGTGCTCGATACGCGTCGCGATGTACATGGTGATGGCATCTCGATGGGCGCGACAACTCGGCGATGGGTGTGGCCCGCAAGCCGACATCCATTTCGGGCTTTACGAGAGCGCTGTGGCATTAGTGACGTCAAGACTAGGAGCCGATTCCCGTGTGGCAGTGGTCGCACCAGCCAGCTGTTGGCTTCCATTGGTTGCTCCGAGTCAAGCGCGCCGCTTGTAAGCATGAGGAGAAATAGCTGTGAAACACTTCGGACTATTCGAGAAATCACCGGTTCGGTCCTGTTAAGACCTTCGGCCTTCGGACAGCTGGGAGGCTCACTAACCGCAACGGTCCTACCGTACTGCCGCGTATTCGCTGCCGTTAGCTTTCAAGAGTGGGCCGTAGTCTCATTCGGCCAGATACAGTATTGTACGACCGCTCCGTATTACTTGTGAACATGGCAAGACATGCTCCGTCGGACTTGGACAGACCGAGAAGATCGGTGAAAGTAGGCGGAGCTTACTGGGGTTAGTCATAGATCCATAGAATTGTCATTAGGTAGAAATGGGGGACCAAAGTTGACCATGAGACTCCCTCTCGTTGACCATACCAATGACATGATGGGTCTTAGTATATTACAAGTATTATACATCCTTAGGGTGGGAAAAGCTTGGGAAGTATCGAAACAAGTTGCTATTGACCCTCGAGCCCATCAAGGCAAAATTGATCTGATTCTTTTCATCCAAGCACTGGGTGTAATCTTTGACGCATGCCTCAAGCCACGTCTTGGTGGGAAGATGGTATGTCTAGATTCCTGTAATCCTAACACAGACAACTTAGACTTCTGTCGCAGCTCTTGAGAGGGCCCTGTGAAATAACAAAAGAGCGGTTGAAAACAGTTGGGGGGCTTGTACTCAACACTTCGTCAAAAGGCGACGTTTCTCTTACATAGCCATGAGCTCAAGAGCCATTTGGACTTCACTGTGCCGGCTGAGTCGTATGGAGTTATTACGGCAAGGCATGAAGAGCCGTCCTTGGGCGATACCGCGTAAGTAGCATGATATTTATGTCCATGATCTTTCGATTGGTCCATTGCGATCGAAGAAGCTTTATGACAATCTATATGGGTGTGGAATCTAATGACCAAGGCCAGATCGTCATTTACCGCAGAATTCGTAATCCACAGCAAGTCGTTGAGCATTGTCGGCTAAGCTGTCTGGCAAATTGGAGAGCTGACTGGAACTGGTACACTGCCGACATACACGAAACATCTACTTAGCCAACTGCCTACTAGCCTCTCTTAATCAAAGTAGGCCACGATCAGTTTTTGGCCTTACAAACATCTTTTTGGTTCCTTGTTGGTCTTTCTGTTGTGGCAATACCGAAGAAGATGAGTAATAATAGGAGTAGTAAATACATGTAAGTAGCAGCAGATGATGTGGAGCCAGGAGATTTCCAAGATCGGCATTCAGCGTGACTCGTTGTCGATGAAGTTTGATTATCCACTCGCTTTGAGTGAAGGAAAGTTGAGTTTGAACACCTTACTCCCGTCAAGTGAGCTAGTACTCATGATTTCCGATGTGGACCTATAGATCATTCTCATTACTTGCGAAGATCATATATCTTGTGTATCTAGCGACACGGACTGGAGCGAGAAGCCTCTTAGCAGTATTCTGCGCGAAGCAAGTGTGCATGCGGCACTGGCTTGGCAAGAAATTTTGTCGTAGTGTATATGGCGTTAATTGCGGGCAGCAATTAACGGCGTCATTTTTGCGACAAATTTCTTTTGTCGCAAGTTATGGCACACAGAAACGGACAAGGGAAGGGCATGGAGAGTGGTATTATCAAATACCATGTTGATAGGGAAAGGCGTAAGCCCCATGCGCTGAGTGAACGTAAGGGTTTCATGTTCCCTTTGTCATTGAGGTTGCGGATGGTCAAACGAATAGCCCAAATTCCCTCTTGATGGCCACGGATGAGATGGCAATCTTTCCCAGCCAGAAGGGCAGTCCATCGGTGGCCTTGCTAGTCTTAAACTTGTCGTTAGCTAAGGGGCCCAAGGAGTCTGGGCGTACAGCACACGCTCTTCTAAGGCAGATGGTGAAGTAATATTGCCCCAAAAGCTCGATGCTCCCTGTCTCCTGGAATGTCTATGTCGATGAGCTAACGGATGTCATCTAAGCCGATGCGGACCTAATCGCCTGGTTTAGATTTGAGCTGGACGAGCTTCTTCTCGATTACCAGTGTACATAGCATCTCTGTTATCTGGCTAAAACCATAGCACACTGAAGGCAGCTTAATACTACGGTCGCCGTACTTTAGGGTAACTAAGAATAGAAAGGCCTCGCGGTACTAGATAAATGTCGTTTAAGAAACTAAACAGTATGTATCATATCTAGAAACTTTGGTGTTGGCAGTAAAAGAGAGGTAATGACGAATGACTCACTAAAGGGCATTGGAGGTGTAAGATCTCCCGCACTCTAATGGCGCTAATAAGCGAGGCTTATCCAATATATCCTCAGGGACGCCATCTCGAACCTTTCTGAAGATGCGAGAAATTATGCGGTAGTCCTTAACGATTCGGTCTTGTTGCTCCGGGGTTAAGATGCTCGATTGACTAAAGCCTATTGCGGACATATCGAATTCCCTCGCGTCCTGCATCAGTCGGTCGAACTCCTCCGCGCCATCTATTTGAGATTGTATTGCGCAGGCGTTGATCCAGGCTGCCTGGCTTTTGCCTGTCTTTCGGCGTCTTCCTGGACCGGTTCCCATGTTTGCTTGATGTGATCTAGAGGAACCCATTATATGAGAAAGATTAGATGAGGTTTCACTTTACTCACCTGGAATGCTCCCGACTGCTGCTTTCGAAGGGGAGAATTGTGACGGAGGATGGGCCCATGGGGAGACTTGTGGCCGAGTATCTCACGGAAAAATACGGCAGGTATACAGAACTCAAATAGTCAATCTTATTCCCGAATCCCAGGCCCCTGCCGTATCAGAAGCGATCTGTCAAATACCTCCGCTTGTGTATTCCCCTACATATCACGGGGAGTACACACTATGGAATCGCTGTGTCATATTGAAACATTTCTCCCACTTGTTGTTTGCCTTTCCGCAACGGACCTACACTAGCTCATCTCAAACGACAAACCTGCTTACCTACGGAAGATATCCTTTGGCCTTGAATGCCCGTTCAAGGATACCACGGATGACGTTCTCTTTCCTGAAGTTATATTCCATCACAGTCTCACCCAGCGAATTACTCATGCCTGCGGCCTCTGTCTTGGTCTTTGCATACAGATCCCTGTCATCGTCATGTTCAATCAACCACTCCTTCATGATGAGATGTCTGGTCAACTCGGCTGTCCCGACCTTGAAGACGTGTAGATTGCAGGAAAAGGGCCTGTACATGGCGAAGAAGCGATGTTCGTGCCACTCGGGCTCGCGCGTGAGGAACTGGAACCCCGCCTTCTCAAGTGCGGGCGCGTAGGCGGCCTCATCCGTCGGGTTCTCGACGGCGAGGTCAATGTCGATGACGTCCTTGGCGGGGAGGTTTGGCACCGATGTCGAGCCGACATGGGTTATGCTGACGGCTACAGGACCAAGGGCGTTCTCTATGAGAAACTTGATGTCTTGGAACTGTTGTGGCCACTCGGGGTTTGGGGGTTCGATGGAGAGTGCAGGTTTGGATGTTCGCGTTGCGATGCGTTGAATGATTGAAGGATCAAATTCATAGTGTTTGACAATCTCTTCGATGGAGCAAGACATCTTTCTCAATGTCTTCTTGAATGATTTGTGACAGATAGGAGATAGCACGCTGGATAGAATAGTGCCTGTATGCTGTCAGAATTGGTTTCTAGATTAAGATGTTGAGTCTATCTGGTGATGTGTCTAAAGCGCTGTTATGAAGTACTTCAATACAGTCTAAATTGTCGCCAACCAAGGTGTGTTCCAGGGACGGCGTGAGTCATTCGGCGACTGCGTGGCTAGCATCGGATGGTACCTACAGCATCTGACCCCAGCTCACATTATTTTCATGCCTTTTCATGTTGCATGCAACGGCGACCGAAGCATTTAGGGATCCTCCAAGTCGACAAACCGATATGCCCAGAATGCGCACCAGATGAAAGTGATGCCACACAAAAAGAAGCTGACGAGGTAAAACACGGCGGCCTGGTTTGGTCAGTGATGTTCGTGAACAAGAGCGGACCGGGTGATGAAACCTTGCTTGCTCCAACCCATCCCTGACCGTCATACAATGGCGCGCAAACGTACACCGTCAATCCGCCGAGGAAGCAGATGGCCGAGTACGCCATCAACATCATGGGCGCCTGCCACGTAAAGACCATATTCCACCGAACCTCTACAAACGGCATCTCCTTTGGGATCCACCCTCCCTTCTTCTTGATCTTGATGGCACGGATCTGCGGGATGGGAGGCACTTCTTCGAGTGGCGAGTGCATAGGCTCGATGACCCTGCTGCGACGTATATAAAGGATCATGGCGAGGTCTTTGTCAACGTTACGCGGCGTCGGGGATCGATGGAGAGTCTGGAAGATGAACTGCTCCGAGGCAGCGAGGAGGATGGAGAAGAGGGAGAAGGAGATGCTCGCGTGCCAAAAGGCTGGGCTGAGCCAGTGCAATGAGTCGGGAGGCGGCCATGAAAAGCACCCGATGACGGCAGCTGAGATTAAGGTGCTCTGTGAGGGGTGAGTACAGGATCACGCAAAGCGAAGGCGTTGGAGACTTACAGCAACTTGAACAAGTTGAAATTCGCTCAACTTTCTATCTCGCCATCGCTTCAGTTGTGCCGAAATTTCCTCGTCGGATTCGCGATCTTCAACAGCTTTGGCGATGGCTAATATCGGTAGCAACGTGTTTTGCTGATAAAAGCGGTTATATGGAAGGGTCAGGATGTCGGTGGCGATGTGCGCAATCTTGCTACTCAAAGTCACAGCAATAATCTAGACTGCGTCAGCGCAAGATGATCACCTTATACAGAATAAGGGTAAGTGAATCGTACAGCAATTTTGAGACCACGGTCGCTCTTGGGTACGCCTGGCGCGTTGCCTGGTCCACTTTCCGGATCCATTCCTATGTGCATATCTTGATTATGATATTCATCTCTGCTATAGGGACCCGGCGACTTTATAAAGGTTGTATCTACGGCGTATTGTAACCAGGCAGCTGGCTGGCAGGCCATGTGCAATATTTACACAAAGCGACGGATGACTGGC